TGATCAAATCTCAACTATACAAAAGCAAACTGTTTCATACAACTAATTACTAATTTACTGCTTAAAAACCACAAGATACATAGTAACCCACATTTCAAAACCGGCGATACTACTGTGGCAATAAACTATACTATAATTAGAATTCTTGATATAAAGCTATAAATAAGATGTAGACCACATACGAAGAGATTTCCATTTTTCCATATTTGTATGGAACCATCACTACAACCTGCACCAATCAGTTTGCCATCGCGTGAATAAGCACAGCAGGTAGCTATTGCTCGTCTACCACCGCCAGTTTTAGTCTTAATAACTTTCCGTTGTTTTGTTATGCAGTGTCGCAACTCTTTATAATCATCCAGCGACCATATACGAAGAGTGCTAAATAAACATAAAACTGCAAAGCACTCAAAACAGTCAAGTAAATATTTTACAACATTATAGCACTCATAATTCTGTCACATGCAGCGCACTAAAGCTAATTAATAAAGTAAAACTTCAAATATGATTATAAAATCAAGTAAGAACCTACCCATCGTCTCCGCAGCTTAGAAATTCAGTCTTTATGAGCGGGTGCCAACAACAGCAATTTACAGCGCTGGTATGACCAGATGTATTTGATAAATCTACCAAATACTGATCACCTAATAAAAAGTGGCTTAAAACAATAAAATACAAAACAAGCAGGAAATCCAATGTAAGAAATGAAATACCTCGTACTGTTTCCGCCCACTGTTTACCCTGCCTATCTAAGATGCGAATCTGCGCATGCCCGCTTGCTACTAAAAGCTGTTCTCCGTTAGTACTGAATGCCAAATCGTTGATCACATGACTAAAGCAGTGAAATGAGTTATATTAATCCCAGACTATGTTTAAAGATTCGACTCTGACTATAAATGGTAAAAAAAAGAGTTGTAGGTAAGAATGAAATAAAAGCCAGTCCTGAAATAAGCGCTCGTTATAGCAAGTCCAAAGAAACTCAAATGATAAGTAAAGTCAAAACTAAATAAAATCTTCGTCCCAAAAAATCAAACGGAGAAAGTAGTAACAAACTGATACACCTGTAAACCTAAAACAGCAAACCTTTCACAAGGGGCAAGTTCACGAGAAGGCCGGAACGTATAGTCCATTTTTTGAAACTCGTATAGATTGACTGCATAATCCCAACCACCACATGCAAAACGTGTACCTTGATGATCAAACGCTAGTGCAGAAACCTGAACTTCCTATTAAAAGGCAACCAAAAGCCAAAAACTAAAATTCAAAAGTTTTAAGCTACGAAATGACCTCCTGCAATCAAAAGTTAACAATATAACCTTTAAGAAATTCACCAAAATATTTTGTAAAAAAGATTTAGAAACAAGGTTTATTTTTTAATTCACATCCTAAGTTAATATACTTTACCGGTTTCTTTCCATTGAGAACAACGACTTCGCATTCTGTGGGAATTAACTGCATAACTGGAACCTAAACTGCTCAGTGCCTCATGATCAGTTAACAATGGAGTAATTACAAAAAGATATTTTACGAAATTAACGTAAAAATACACATTTATCATCATTCAGTTATAAATCTAATACAGTGATTAATAAAAGACTATATTTTTCTGGCTTACCTCACCGAAATCTTCAAAGTCATCATCGTCTTCCTTTTCAGCTGACATCGTGTCCCCCTGGTCAAGAACCGCACTGGGATCAGGTTGCTCCGATGAGGACGGAGCAGAAACGAAGTTTTTCGGCAAAGGAACGGTAAACACATCAGCATCGTCTTCTTCTAAACGTCATTAGAAAAAATAGATATTCCTACACAAAAATACGACAAATCTACATACCTTTAGTGTCATCTTCACTTTTTTTCTTCTGTTCCGTTAAAACCTGCAATAAAGGGGTAATTTACTTTGAGTATAATTCATAAAATAAAGAAAAACTTTGATTAACCACAAAGGCAGTGGGTCTGCCGGATCACTTACTTCAGAAATTTCAGTAGACTCTTCTTTCTCATGGGGTGAAATCAAGCTATCTTGAAAAGAACTCCGAAGCCCCCTTTCAGCATTTCTTTCGGCCGCAACACGATGAGTTTCTTCAAACATTGTGGCCAAATCGAATTGTCGTGGCTTTTTGACGGCATTTTTCTGACGTCTCTCCCCATTGTCATCTGGACTACCCTCCTTCCTTTCCTCACTTACAACATATTCTCCTACGAAACCAAAAGTACTTACGTTTTCCATAACAAAGTATAACCTTAAAATTCAGAAGTACAAACCTTACCCTTCTCAGCTTCTTCTTTAGAATTCTTTCCATCCCCCATACTGATTAACAGTTCCCAACCTGCAAGACAAAAAAATTAAATTTTCAAAACTTTGCCTAAAAACCAGTAAACGTTCCTCGAGAAAAAACGAAAAACTGGAGTAAAAAATGCATAGATCCAGAGGAACGATTTTTCAGTAGCTGTCATTTTTTTATAATAATTTTAAACCCTGCAAACGTCTATTGAAATATTTTCCGGAGCTTATCCTTCTTGGTGTCCTAGTTTTATTCAAAAATGGTAGTGTTTCCCTGGGCCACCAAGTCCAATTAGAGTCTAATTTTCTACACCATTCACAAAACTAGCCATACTCCACAACATTTCATTTTTTCCAGCAAACTAACCAAACAAATTCGTTTCCGAAACCTCACCCACAATCACACAAATCTCTTCACCACATACAGTCATTGCACCACATAATCGTAGGAAATGCTGCGCGTACACTTGTATTCTAGGACAGTACCAAAATTATGATTTACAGGTCTTGACAGAGATTTCAGAATTTGTATGAAAGTATAAATGCGCGCATTGAAAAATCCGCAGCAAGAACTTCTGCAATTTTTAAATGCGTAACTAAACTTTCACTCAAAAAATACTAATTTGGGAAACAATTATTTCCTTTTCCCTGCCATCCAATCTAAAAGGTACTAGGAAGTTGTTGGTGGTAAATCTCCCAATCTTCCTCTCAAACTGGAAAAAAATAATAAAATCAAAATAAACTAGCAGAGATTAGCATGTTGCGATAACAAAAAATATGACAGCGATATCGGAGATATCAGTTTTTGCCAAAATTTATGTCAAAGGTGAAGATATGATTCGATGCTTCCTTCAACTTTTACATTTCATTTCGTATGATTAGTTCATTATTTCAGAGAAAAGAAATGAAATTTTGCAAAAAATAACTGGTAACGCGATCAGCACAAATCCACATTTTGTAGGAGTATCTTCAGTAAAAAGTAGAAGCTCTTGATTCGAAAAAGAACATAAAAAATCATATTGTTAAAACGCTGGAAATTAATACATAAATGGTCGAAGAAATATTACAACGAAGCAAAGCATGACTTAAGAAGTCAACGCACAATTACCAATATATTTGGCGGAGGTTAAGTAAAAGAATAAGAGAAACATTAATAAAGAATTCGAAAACAGCTACAAAGTTTAACTGTAGTACAAGAGCTGGACAACACTTTACTGCTTTATGTTCTATACGTTTATCCGACAATTAGAAGTTGTTAACGAAAAGATATGATAAATAAAAACAAACGGCTAAAAATCCAAGTGCAAGGCGAACCTCTACTCATCCACTGGAGACGTCCTATTCCTTCCAGGTGAACAAATTTTTTACAAATCACTTTTTTATCCATCGAAAGATGTCTACTCAAAAGAATTTATGCAAAGCGTTTAAACCTTCGAAGAAACTACGAAAACTGGTAAAACAATTCCCCACATTCCTCAGTTAACACAGACAGACAAAGTACCGAAGCTGTAACAGCAAATAAGACGAGTTAGAACTGAAAAAGTAACACGGAAACCAACAGCTTTTGCATCTAAAAATTCATCAACTAACTATAAACCAACGTAAAAATTTCAAGCCACTGCGAAACCAGTAAAAATCATACTCACACTTGGCAAGATGCCAGCGTGGCTCCCTCTCGTCTGGCCGTAATCTGAACGATTTTTTCCATAATTTTTGAAAGGTCAGTAAGCGTACATTCAGAATCATTGAGTGCCATTTGAACTTCATGGTAAATCATTTTAGTCCTGAATCGAAACGAAAGATTTGTGCTAGTCTCTACGAGAAAAAGAGGTGCTTTTCTGATTTACTGCCTGATTTTATGGGCTCTCTGGTCTCAAGGAAGAGGAGTTGGTAAATTTATTCATTTCGTAAATCTCGAAGTAACTTTTCTTTTTCTTTTATACTGGTGTATAGCTGTATTTTTACGCCATTGGTTATTGTCTTTTTGTTTGCTGGAATGTCTATGTTGATTCTCTTTAGCAGGGCTTTGACACGGTCCTACGGTTGAGTTGTGTCTTTAATGGTCCTACGGTTGAGTTGTGTCTTTTGCTACTTTCGCACCAAATGTAGTATTAAGATTTGATGAGGAGCAAAATTTTTGCTGTTGCTTTGCCATCCTAAAGCATTATAGAATTATTCAACTATTTATACTGGAGAGTGTGTCGGATTCTGAAATAATAACATTGGGAATTCATAAAAGCGGTTCTTCTCACAGAGGGAGACGAAGTCGTATAGGGCTTTCTCAATTTCCTTACCTTAAAAGCGTTCCACGCCATCCGTAAATGAACGTGGCAAATATCGTCTGAATTACGTTAGTAGGAAGTGCAGATTTCTTGGTCCTTGAATGTCATAAAGAAACTGATTGACGGGTATCTTTTGCTAGCCTACAGGCTCAAAGTTGACGGAATTGCCACTCTGTAATATCTCTTCGCTGTTGTCGATGCTTATTAGCTCAAATTGTCCATTTGAAGACTTGCTTTTGGTGTCACTGAACTGGAAGAATGCTTGCTCATCGACATCGCGGAAAGTAGCCAGATTCTCCTGTCTGCTGTAGGCCAAGCCGATTGTATCTCGCTCTCCTATAACACATGCTATTTTCACCACTGTGCAGCAGCGCTACTGACGTTCCACAACAGAGTTTCTGGTAATTTTGTCTAAATATACTTAATGGCATTACTGCATTCAGTGACTTGTTAAAAAGCCTGTAAACACTCATATTAAGTCCCTGAAAAATGGAACATATCTTTGCTCCGCCTAAGACCATCCCACCAAAACTTACTCCCCTCAAGCAGGTAAAGGCTACATGCTAACCGGAAGGCGCTGCATGATTTGAATGCTAAATTGTGGGAACAATGAGTTCACAACATTGCCAAAACAAATATAAATTTCATCGTTACAAGTACTGTCTTCTGCTCGTATTACATGGAAGCAGCTCTGCCACATCTTTGCGTGGATCAGTTGCTGCGATAATGCTGAACGGTAGAAAATGTTTCTCCTGACAACTCCCTTTCCCCCCCGTACGAATCTTCTCGGGAACCACACAATAAAACATTTATGGGATTCCCCTTTCTCAGGCTACACAAAGAAACGCTTTGATCGCCTGATACGGATAAATGTCAAACGATTTCAAGCCTTAATGATAAAATATACATTCCTTCAACTTATTTCATCCTATGGTCAAACTCCCGTGTTGGATAAGCCATTTGCCACATAAAATACCCCTAATCAAAAAGGCAATACAGCTGCTTTCCATATTGTTATTAAACGCCGAAACCCCTCAGCAGTGTATGTTCGAAAAAGCACAGTGTGAAACAGTGAATAATTTCACCGCGATCATCTTAAAACTTTTAGTCAGCTGTCCACATCAGTAGCCAAGTTACTACTCTTTTACTACTCGCTAACAAATAAACTTCAACTTCATCATGCACATCACTTCAGAAAACTTGTATGTATAGCAGCAGAGAGGACCTACTTCTTACTTTTCTCAAATAAATAAGTAGCTGTCACTCCTACTACAAAAAATAATTCATCTTTTTA